AGATCCGAACGGCCGTGGCGAAGAGACAGATCGAAGAGACGGAGGCCATGATCTACGATTTCAAAAAGAAGGCAGCCTCCGAGAAGCAACAAAACGAGGAGGCAAACAAAATGCTAGGGAACATCCGCTCGTCCATCGACAGCTGGGATTACAGCGGGAGCCTCATTGCTGAAGAACGAAGTCAAAAACAGACGGCACACGCACAACAACTACAACTACAATACGGTACGCAAAAAACAGCTGCGACGTCAGGAGCAACACATGCAGCAACATACCCAACACCTTCTACTTGAACAGACCCAGCAGCGCAGCGAAGAAAAGATCCGTGCCCGCGAAAAGCTCGAACCTGAAAAGCGTCATCGGGAAGAGCGCTGCAACGAAGATATCAAGCAAAACGATATCCGGGCACAGGGCATGAACCTCGAGGTGTACAAAGACACGGAAAAGAAATGTGACAGCTTCAAGACAGAGGAGCACGCCATTATCAGGGAGCAGATGATAATTCAGTGCGGCGTGATGCAAGCGCAGCCCATGAATACACAAAGACAGCAACACCAGGAGATACAGCAGCGGAAGCACCACGATATTCAGCTCGCGCAACAACGCGCGGGACAACAGCATCTCCAAGATCAAAGATCACCACGCTGAGCTTCACGATACGCGGACCAACGAACGACACAAACATCAACTCCAGCAACAACATTTCCAAGACGCACTCTAACAAGAACGCGAAAGACACGACGAAATTGACAAGGACGTCATGATGAAGCTTGCGCAGCAGCTCCAGGAACAACGAGACGACGGCAAGAGGTATCAGCACATGGCCGATATCGAAAAAGAAAGGATTCGCAATGGGACCGAACCGTGCTTACACGACCTAGTCCCTGGGCAATGCGAAAGCATTCGACCTGACCTCGACGTCTACTGAGCCAATTTGAACCGACGGGGACCACCGACAGCGACCCTATTTCACAAGGGACCGGCTCCACCCCCAACATCCCCACCCCGCCACCTCAGCCAAGACCGGCCGCGCTATCGCCAAGTCCGACGCCCCCGGCCACCCCCTGCGACGACGACGGGTGTGGGGCAGCAATAAGCACGAGCTCGAATACGCCGATACTTGACGCCATTCCCGACCCCGACCTGACCGCCGACGACTGGAAACTAAGGGTACAGGGCTTGACCATGAGGTTATAAGCTGAGAGCCCTCTTCTTAAGATCACGTCGGCGACGCATCGACGCATCCCGCAACGCATCCCTCGATAGCAAGCATGGCGGACGCATCCCGCAACTCATCCCTCGATGGCAAGCATGGCGGGAGGTAAGACACCAGCCCTGGGAGACAGGGGTGGATCATAGATAGACGTGGCCTTTGTCCGATGCCAGGATCCCCAATAGAATAGCACGCGGACTCGAAACTGGCAAACAGGACAGTGCTGCCTTGAGCCCAGACAGCGTCGGATATAGCGTTCGCTACACAGCCTCTCCTTAAACCTCGCGTAAAATCGGGGCTGAGGGGCCGAGCGCTAGATCGTTGTCCTAGTTAGTTATATTAAGTGAAGAAGAAGGATTGAGATATTGTTTCTCGACTCCACCAGCAGCGCACAGGCAAGCACAGGAACAAACATCACAGAGCACTAGGGGTGGTCATGGCACACTGCCACGAGCAGCCACACATGATTACGGATGGTCACGGGCAAGAACTCGTGACCGTCCGTAGATGAGCAAGGGGGGCGACTGGTCAAATGCCAGCCGTCACAGCGCGCCGTGGGCGAGGGGACATGACCAAGCGGTCAGATCCCCTCTATGTAACAAGGGTGAATGCCCGTGTCCGGGCGCCCACGGTAGCTGTGACGCTTTGAGTGTGTGTATATATATGTATTATGCGTATGCGTGCACGTGGCCAGGCGAGGATGACTATATAGTAGGTAAACATGCCCGTGTCCGGGCATGGATCACTACTTGTCTAAATTTGAATGGTCGCCCTCACATCCGTCCGCTGGCCCTGAATAAGGCACCCCTATGTTGGCGCTGTGCATTTCTTGCCCCTATAGGGCACGCACTTCTTTACTTCGTACTTGAAGGATTTATTTCCTTCAATCACTTGCAGCAGCCACGCGCGATCGATGCGCCCCTTGGCATGGCCGTCAACGGTCATATCTCGCGCATCACACCAGTGTGCGCCACGAACTAGACCTCGACCCATCATCTGTCGTATCCAGCTGATATGTCCCAACAGGGTACATGTCGGTCGGCTTCTCCATGTCCTTACCTGACAAAAAATTGAAGACCGACTCAGCGCCCACGGCAAGGATGGCATTAATGCTGAGACCGCCCAACGCCATAATGATCTTAAGTTGGGCATGTGCCATGGGGTCCAGTTTTAAGCTCACGCAGCGTAACTACGGTCGGAGAACAGCCCTCAATATTATGAGCGGCTGCCAACGTTTCAGCTGAGTAGCTGGAGCGCACCTGCAAGCGATGCGGCTGACAGCGTGCATCAATCAGACGTACTACGGCGCCACCGCTGGGCGCGTGTCCACGCCGCAAAGGTCGGCCCCTCGGATGCCATACCCCTTTACTTCGTCATCTTCGTCCCCATTAAGGCAACGGCATCCTGGGCCACAATGGAGGCCCACTTCTCCTGTCGGAGCCATAAGTATATATGCTATGTCCTTCGGGCCTTGCTGCAGTTTGCGAGTGACAGCGTTGAGTCTGCGCGCTTGGAGGTTCGCGGGTTCCCGCGCGCGTTGCAAGGGCACCACGCGCGCGATTAAACGTACTTGGGCGACCAATGCATATGCCAAGACGCCACACAAACTGATGAACATGTCGGACACTGTCTTCGTTTTCTTCCGCTACAACACCCGTAAGTTCTGGGTGCTGCATCGGACGGAGCTGTTTGATGCATAGATCATGATCTAGCTGGACGTGGCCGTCCTCGGTCTTAGTGCATCGTTCGGCGCCACTGGTGTAGCGCAGTTTGTTCAATTTACATACGCAAAACGCACCTTCTACACATTTGACGTGCTTGCCAATGGTTTCCTCTACTCCTGCCACGTTGATGTCGTCGACGTACTTGGCTATCAAGAGGTGTGGGCTTGTCTCAAATTCTTCATCATATGATGTGAGCTTCAGCCCAAAACCTCGCGTGATGCTTCTGGGCCTCAGTGAGAATGCCCTAGGGGCGCATTTGGTGCCCGCGCCTGGTTCAAGACACTGAGGGCAGTGCTTTGACTCGTCATGGGACGAGAAACCGGGCACTGCATGCAGCACCGAGGCTGAACCAGGTGGAAGAGAGAAGCATGCCATGCGCTCACCCTCACCGGTGGCCTCTGCCAACTCACGATAAGTCAGACCCTTCAAGAAAGCCTTGTCGATGTCCATGGATGCCATGATCCATTGTCTCTTGCGCGGCCGCGCTGGCAAGCAGTCTCTGGCCTGCTCGCCGACGCGTGCCTGACAAAGCTTCCAAGTCGAAACCCACGACGCCCATAAAACCAAGAAGAACAAGGCGTAGTCGCATTCTTCATTCCATGATGCCTGTCTTTCTTGACAAGCTTCCACTTGCACACGCATCTAGAGGTCAGGATAGTAGAAGCATTCTTGATGTCCTGCATCTTGAAGCATTTGTAATCCTTCCATATTTTCAGTTCGGTGTACAAGGCCAAAGATAGATTCGTCGGGCTGGCTTGTATTTCTGCCTACGTCAGTAGGTTGTCCTCCTCGACAACTACAGCTCTCTTTGCCGCGGACGAGACATACACGCGCATTATGGTCACTTGATCGCCGCGCAGCGCTTCGTATTGTTGCTATGATAGAACGACCTTGGCCATGTCAGCAGTGAGGCATAGCTCGACATACTGGCCATGGTCGTCCGAGTCGAAATTGCATATCTCGTCGTATTGAATATTCCAGGGTGCCAGAACAATTTCGTCGGCATGGTGACTCGGAGCGTATGCTATTTCTCGCAAGCGTCCTTGCTCTTCACTGGCCACAGCCGCGAGTGCGTGGTTGCTGATCACCATATCAGTGGGTACCGAACACACGGGCTCCCATGAGGCGGTCTCGAGTAATTCCGTTTCCTCTTGGAGCTCTACATACCACGTGTCCATGATATATATATATATATACACCTATATATATATATATGTATATATATGTATGTGCATATTTGTGTATATATAAATATGTGTATGTGCTTCCAAATCCGTCGTTGGCTATTCAACCGTAGGTGGTAGTCTACCGTCAAGGACGGTCGGTGGCGGAGGACTGTCCTCCTCTTGGGCGTGGCCGCCCGTCGCTGGCGTGTCTGCCAGGTCTCAAAACTTCCAAAGGTCTTCAGCAAAGCCTGCAACAGGTTCTGATGACTTTAAGAACTGAGTGACTCGTGCATTGGCGGTGCCAGTGATGTCGTAAATATTGAGAGCGGTACCTTCTGATTCGTAGTAGTGGAATCCTGGTGTAACGCCATTATCATAGTATAGAAGGAACAGCTATCGGCGCAGAGTGCTGCCTGTAACTTGTCGATATTTGTAGCCAAACAAACACTTGCAAAGTTTTCTATCCTAAAACCGTTTCTGATGTGGAACTGCACAACTAAGTGTACTTCGGGCGAGAGACGACTCGCTGCGGTCATCCGCAGGTGCCCCTGCTTGGTCGGCAGGCAGCCGAAGACCATATCAGGTTTCCCTGCAACCAAGCTCGCGATAAACGCCAATACTGTTCGCATTGCGGTAGTGTCCGAGCCGATCTCGCGGACCTTAATACTTCAAAATATAATGCGCGTCGTGAGTCTGGGCATTGAACCAAGACTTCCCGACCTCCGACTTATATTACTGCTTGGCCACGGTCAGGGCAGTTACGGGCGATGGGGCATGGTCCGTTCCATCCTCCCCAATCGTCTTTGGCAGTGGTTGGGCGGCGGTAGTCCACGAGGTCCCCTGGCTGATAGTCGCGGTGTCCCGCTTCTGTCGTTTGTGTGCGCGGGGCTCTATTCGTTTTGGCCACTGCAGTGGCTTATGCGATGGTCTCAATGCATATTTCTCTGATTCCTCGTCCTCGGTTGTGATCGAACGTTTCCACCCCCTGTTGGTGGTCCAGCGAAGGGCAGGTCTGGCAACCAGGCCGGTCGTCGTCCGCGCGGCGCCTGGCATGGAGATAGCCCGTTGTAGAACGTAAAAACACTGCAGACAAATAGGCCTTCGTGCAGCAATCGTGCAACGACCAATGGTACGCTGCGTCGTTTCAGTTTTTCTTCCATAACATGTAAGGTGTGTCGTGCATCGCTCGGACGCCCATTTCCTGTGCATTTTTCGGTTTCGTGCGTGATTTTTGTTGCCCGATGGTCCAGGATGGTCCTGGATGGTCCTCGCCGAGAAAAAATGTACACGTCCGAGCAATGCCAGGGGCTTCCCGACAGCGCAGATCACTCGATCTCCGCTGATTCGGGGCCACTGGCGGCGTTCCGCCTTGAGCGCCCACGCTGGGGTCGCCGCCGCGTTGATCCGCGGCGCGAACCTGCCGGAGGTGCATGGTTCAGGGGGCGAAGCACGGCGCAGCATAAGTTCTTCCGCCTTCGGGGACGCCTTCCCCCCCCCTAGGCGACTGCAGAGCACAGACAGTCAACCCGTATCATAAGAATGCGCGACAAGGATGCAAGGGCCTTGGTGGGCCACTTCGGAGCTTCTCGAGCGGGGCGCGGCCAACGAGAGTGGCCAAGGCTGGGCCCAGGAGGCAAGGATGCAAGGGTACCCTTGGGGAGGCTGCCCATCCGTACCCTGCGGATCGACTGTAGGGGGCGAAGAACGGCGCAAAATAAACTGTCCCGCCGTGGGGGATGCCTGCCCCAGGGGCGGCTGCAAAGCTTATACCCCTGCGGTGCCGCGTAGGAGTATAGACTACGCAGCCGCATGGGGGGCGCAGGTGTCCCCGACGGCGGAAAAGCTTATTTTGCACCGCTCCTCGCCCCCGAAAACGGTTGGCGTCCACCGGGGCCTCCCCTCGGGCTCGCCTCCGCCCTGGCGCGCGCGGCGCCCGAGGCTCGCTCCGCCGGCTGCCGGGCCTCGCCCAGGTGGCAGACCTGGCTCTGCGGGACGGGCGATTGCAAAAAAAACCGAAGGATTGCAAAAAAAACCAAGGATTGCAAAAAAACCCGAGGATTGCAAAAAAACCCGAGGGTTTTTTTGCAATCCTTCGCCCGAGGACGACGACGGCAGCGACAAGAAGCGGCGAACAGCAACAGAGCCGACGGACGATGGACGACGGCGGTCGACGACGGCCGCCTGCGGCCTACGGCCGACGACGACGACGACGACGACGGCCGACGACGGAGGACGGACGACCACGACGACGGCGGACCTCGACGGACGACGGACGACGACGACGACGGACCTCGACGGACGACGGACGACGACGACGACGACGACGACGACGACAAACGACGACGACGACAAACGACGACGACGACGACGACGACGACGACGACGGCCGACGATGACGCGCGACACACGACGGGCGACGGCCGATAGCCGAAGACGACGAAGACGTCGAGGCCTTGCTCTCCAACGCCGGCAGGCCCGCCCTGCGGCACCAGGACGCCCCGCGCGCAACGTCCAGCGACTCCGCGCGCTCCTCTGGCGAGCGGGGCGCCGAGGCCGAGGCGTGCGCCGTGTGCGGTCAAGAATCGGGTCGGGCGAAAAGGGGGGATAGCAAAAGGGGGGGGGTTGAGAATCAGCTCGCGTAGCTGATTTTCCCTGCGCCTCCTGGCGCCGGAGGCGGCTGTGTATCGAGGAGTGGGCCCCTCGGTGAGGCCGAATCCAGCTGCACGCAGCAGATTTCGTAACCCCCCCTTTCCCAATCCCCCCCTTTCGTCCGGCCCGAAGGAACTCTTGCTTAGCGTACAGTCGGACTTGATTGGAGAGGACACGCGAGAGGACACAAGACCCTTCCGAGGGCCACATCGCCGTAGGAATGTAGACGGCGTGGGTCGCGAGGCACAGGACACAAGGGTACCCTTGAGCTGGCAGGGTCGACCTAGTAATCCGGGCCGGCTGTACCGCGACGGCGGCCCCTGCGACACGAAGTGCCCTGCAAGTGGATATAGAGTGCTGCTCCGCTCCGCGGGGCGGGAGGCTGGGAAAGGTTCGGCCCGTTGGGACGTGGTTAGCGTGTCGGGGTTTGGGACGTGGTTAGCGTGTCGCGCTGAAGCGTGGTGGGCCAGAACCAGCGGCGTGACTCGCTAAGCAAACGTGCCTGACCGCACACATAGCTTATTTGCCCCAACGAGGATCCAGACCAGCCTGGCGAGTTTGCGGTCGACGAAGAAGACTCAAGACGCTCCAATGAGGGGCCCAAGAGCGCCCCGAGATGTCTCAGGTTGGACCCAGACGGCCTCGCGAACCCAAGATGGCCACAGAGAGCGACAAAACAACACAAGGTGGCCTCTGAATGACACCCAGCAGCAGCCTCGGAAGAACTTGTCCCTAAAGCAGGACACGGGGCCAACGGCCGCATGGCTCATGCGCGTCGGGGCATGGGCCGTACAGCTTCCACCGCATAGTTTGCACCACATAGCTCACACCGCGCAGCTTGCAACGATGTGGGCTTGCACCCCATAACTTACACCATGTAGCATCTTCCCACCACAGAAGTTGCACTACATAGCTTTCACTGTGTAGCCCGTGACAAGTTAGATTTGCACGACATAGCTTGCACCACATGGCTTCCACCACATGCTTTGCACCACATTGCTTACGACAATGTAGGCTTGCACCACTTAGCTTGCACCGCATAAATGGCGCCACGTAGCTTGCACCCCGTCATTTCCACCGCATAGCTTGCGACGATGTGCGTTTGCACTGCGTAGCTGACACCGCATTGCTGGCGCCACGTAACTAGCATGGCGGGACACATGTGAATGACTTCTCAAGCGAAATGCCGCCCAGACCATCTCGAATCAAACCGCTTAGGAAAACGCTGGAAGCGAAATCAACGCCAAATCAGAACACATCGAACATATTGTGAGGACTTTACAAGCGAGACCGCAGCCAAACCAAGCAACTCACTACGTCTCAATCGAAACTGCGCCCAAACGAGGCCAAGCCGTGGAAACTGTATGCCCGCATCAGGTGAAATCGCGCTGGAACAAAACCAAACCAGGCAAATTGTGAGGACGTGTCAGGTAAACCTGCGCCGAAAACAACACAAACGAAGCAACATGTGAGCACGCTTCAAGCGAAACCGCACTGGAACAAAACCGAACGCGGAACATCATGATGACATGACAGCGAAACAATAAAACAAGCATACATTGAGGACGTCTCCAGCGAAACCAGCCCCAAACCAGGGTCCCAACCAGGCAGAATCTGAGGATGTCTCAGGCGGGGCGCCAGGCCAAACCAGGCCAAACCAGGCCAAATCAGGCCAAACCAAACCAGACCAAGCCAAACCAGGGGCCAAACTAACCAAGTTCTGAGGATGTATCGGGCGAAACATCCCGAACCAATCTCCATCCACTGACCACTGACATTCAACTAAAAGCGTTGTTGACCCGAGGGGGACCCCCCCGTAGGGGGTCCTGGAATTAGAATTTTATGGCCGAGGGGTGCTTTCCAGAAGTGCTAGATGTTGATTGCATATGCTACCTCATTGTTGCACTTTTCTGGCTCTTGCGCGGCCCTCCCCACTAATGCAGCATCCCCGCGGCTCTTCCCAAAACAATGAATCTATGTGGCTGAGCCGCAACAGGATGTATGCGGCTGGGACGCAACAGCGTGCATGTGACAGGGGCGCAACACCATTCATTTGTGATCCGATTGTTCTCCAGGAAGTGGTGTCGCATTAGGAGATACAATGTGAAGCCTGTATCAACAACAAAAACACATACACATCTGATAGAGCCACGAGTCGCGGCACTAGAACAGATATGTACGTGCATGAAGCTGAGAAGGAGGGTAAGTATGGGAAGAACGGGAGGATCGAGGCAAACAGAGGGGAAGATGGAGAAATTGAGAATGGCAGAGGATGGACAAGTCGGGTTAGACTCAGATGTTCAGGGTCTGCCGTGGCGAAAAAGGAAGAGACGATCATAATGGAGAGAACCAGGAATAATGAGGACATTGGAGCGAACGTAGGAAGAAGAACAACAAGAAAAAGGGGAGGAAGGCCTCTTCACGGCACCTTGGGGGCCTTCTGGGGGCCTCCTGGGGACCCACCTGGAGGACAATTGAAAGCCTCTGAGGCCATCTAGGGGCCTCTGGGCTGTCTTGGGCTCCAGAGCCCTCGTGAAGGCCTCTGGAAGGTATCTCGAGTTTTTGTTTGTGGCTTTGGGGCCCGTCTTTGGGGCCTCGTAAAATCTCTCGGGGCACTCCTTGGAGCCTCTTGAGCATTGATTCGACTTTCTGAAGGTCTGTGGGGCCATCCAGGGGTTCACCGATAGCGGGACGATCGGAAGACCTTGAAACGAAGCAACATGTGCCCAAACATCTGGCAAGTCCAGCTCTCTCGGCAGCAGCATGTGATCATCTTGCAGGCTAGACTGGGCACTCTTGGACCATCTTGAGACCATCGTGGGGTCAACTTCGGCCCAGGAAGCCGCCCAGGAAATCTATTGACGCGCTTTGGTGCCCTCTGGGGGGCTCTCTGTCGATCTTGGAGGCACGCTGTCTTGCCGAATGAGTCCTCCTGGGTCGTGTGGCAGGACTTCCGCCGACTTCTGCCGCCGTCGGGCGCGAACGGCTGGCGGATTCTGGGGAGATCCCCCCAACAAACACCCGAGGCAGGGGGACACACAACGGGAACCCCTCCAAAGGTTGGAGGAAACCAACAGTTTGTTTTGGGGGGGAGGGAGAAGATGGGAACGGACCGCAAGATTCAAGAACCACCGTCGTAACGCGAAACCCAGTTGCATTTGAAAGCCGTTCTCTTCCTCGCCAAGAGTGCGGAAACGGACGCAAGAAACGACAAGGCAAATAACACAATATACGGATTCGCCGGAAAACGTACAACCCCCTTGCCAGAGAGCCAGCAGCAGTGCAGAAATGATGGCAAAAACCTGCAATAGCCCCGGAGTCGGGCAGAAGAGGGGAGGAGGGAGGAGGAGGCGAGGAGGAGGGCGAAGGGGCGGGAAGGGCGAGAAGGGTGCGAGCCCCACGCACGCACCAACGCGCGCGGCCCGAGCAAGACGATCCACGGCCCGCGCTGGGCCAGGAGCGAGTGGACAGGGAGAGGAAGGGAGAGACGCGAGGAGGCAGGGGAAGGGAAGAGGAGAAAAGGTAAGACTCAACGAGCCCATCGTGCATCAAAAATCCATTCTGCGGGCCCGTGCCCAGCAGCGCCAATTTGGCAATAATGCTCCAAACTGTCTTGGACAGCCGCTTTCTTGGGAGAAGTGCTTCCCCGAAAGCTGTTGGACGCTCTGAACGCGGCATAGGTAGCAAGCGCCGACAAGGTAAGCACCTCGTCGGTCGCTGCTCCGAGACATAAAAACTCTCCAAGTTGACATCCCGGAGCCAGAGGAATCGAACCTTCAGTCTGGGTGTAAAAGGGCAGACCACATAATGCTCGATGCTGTCATGCGCGCCCGCCGAACGGCCGAAACGACACCGCCCGACCTGCTGGAATCGGCGCGCTGTGCACCATCCATTCCACTGCGTCCTCCAGACAGCGGCCACAACACGCGGAGGTGCCAGCCGGCTCAGCCTCTGAAAAGTGGCCGGTGCTCGGCGCGCAAGCCGGCCAATCGGGGTCGGGAGCGTCCATCTCGAGGGCTTGCTGCGGAAACGTGGCTCGATCCGCAGGGCCCTGCTTGGGTGCACACGAATCGCCTCGCAGAGAGCCCGCTGGTCGTCCGAGGTGCGGATCCCGATGAAATTCGCGCGTCGGACCGCTGACGCAACCACGCAAGCAAAATTTTGAATTGTACCCAGCGGACCAACTGGTAGCTCGCGCGGGAAATGCGCATCCCCACCTCTCGAGGGACAGTTCTCGACACATCGGGGCATGGTCTTGCAAAACAGTACTGGCGACCTGGAGCCTGGAAGCCAACGCACTGTCAGCAACGCTCCAGAAGTCAAGTGGGGAAGACAGCAACGACCTCAAACTGTACAAATCAGCTGCGGTCCTCCACCCGCCTGGCCTGGATGACAGCTGTGAGAGCGCAGCGGCATCTGCCGCTAGCACTTCGGCCGGGGGGTCGCATAGCTGACTTAAATGAGAAAGAACTGGTGCGGCGAACGTGTTATAGGCTCGTGCGTCGAGCTGCAGCCCCAGCCCGAGTTCAGACCAGAGGCGAGCACGCCTGCGAAACTTCGAAGTAGCCTAAGCTTCGGTTGGAGGGAACCACAAATCCGAGATGTTAGATCATGGACCCTTTGTTGAACGCAACCGTCAAGCTCTCGTGCCGAAGACAAGCGGAAACCGCCGCAGACCACCAGAAACCGCCGAAGACCGCCAGAAACCGCCCAGAGATGGTGGGTAACAAGGGGTCCATGGTCGAATACGTCGCAAGTCTTGGAAACGTGTTATCTTCCACGCCTTTTCGGCATAACACGATTGCAAGAATGGCCCTCGAGGGCCCCGCGATGGCCCTCAGACAAGGTGGCCCAAAGAGAGCTTCAAGACCCGCCACAAAAGCCCCCAGGTGAGCTCAATAATGCCTGAGGAAGTGCCAAAACGGCCTAAGAAGGACTTCGGGTCGTCCTCGGACGCCCCTCCGATGCCCCAAACGGCGCGAAATGGACGCGAGGCGATCGATCCCCATACAGCGCGCGACGGTTGGATTGGTACGGCGACGTTTTTCTTTTTTGAATGTGCGTATGACTGTGTAGGCGTTCACATGAAGCACATAAGCATTTAGGAGTGTCCCTAAGTCGATATTGACCTCTTCGTGCCACATCACAAAAGCTCTATAAAAAGGGGTCCCAAATCCTGGAGCCCCAAATTTCTTGGGCGCCTCTGGGCATTCTTGGGCGACTCCTTACAGTTTTAACCATACGCCCTGAGCTGAGGATCTGACACGTATAGAATCTGACAAAAACCCAAGAGATCTTCGAACCAGCCGGAAAGCCTCCAAAAACAGCCGAGAACATCCGAAAAACAACGACGACGACTGAGCTCCAGGCTGCCGAAGTCCGCCACGCCATCCACCCGCCGGGCCTCCAGCAAATGTCTCGTCTCCAAGACCCCTGGGCCGTGCCGCTTCAAAGACTCCCACCTCCGCGCCGTGATGAGCCTCTCGAAGTTGGATTCCGCATTCTCCACCTTTAACAATGGATAAGGCAGGAAGAAATTTGAAGATGCTGATGGGGACGAGGAACGAACGTACCGAGAGGACGAAGACACGGAAGAGGAGGAGGAGGAAGAAGAAGACTCAGGACTCGAGAGTCAACGATCCGCGCAACGGTGCTACTGGAGCACCTCTGCCGGGTGCGTGCAGTACTCGATCGAGTGCGGACTGAAGGCCAAGAAGCTAACATAGAGTGGGCTGAGAATGAAAGGCGTCTGCACATAAAGCCGACAGAAGACCATGTACGCAACGAACACCATCTTTTCCCAAAACAATGGGTTCCCCCCCGTTCTCCATGACATCCCATAGGTGCCGCGTGGCAACTCAAAAAAAGAGGGCCTCTGGACAGAGACCCGCGATTGTAACGCAATGTTGCAAAAGCCGCGACAAACAAGGTGTGGCTGCACAGGCGCGAGATGGCTCGCTCATTTGACGTGCCAGCGATCAACCTCCATCATATGTCCACCTTCCTCCCATCTATCTGTATTGGTCCTCCAACGTACATGTACAACATGGGTACAAGAAACAGCATGCTCGCGCTTGCGTGACAGGGTAGAGCAGCGGCGTCAAGAACGAATGCGCAGGTGTCGGGGGGGAAGGCGAGCAGAGACTTGCCACTGCCTTCTGGAAAAAGGTCACTAGCGTTAAGTCGGGCGCGTCCCCATACAGGGGGATTTTCGACCAAAAAATAGTTTAAACAAAAAATAATCCAACATATTTAAAACAAATCTATAAAGCAGCTCAAACATAGTCCCCAGGCTATTGTTTGACTATTTTTGAATATTCCCCCTGTAAAGGGACAGGCCCGACTTAACACTAGTGTTGGTGCAAGCCTCGCGAAATCGATGCCCCGAACAATCCTATCCCTTGATACCCTACCCGCCCAACGCACCCTCAAGCACGAGCAGGGCCCACTGGCGGTACCATGCAGCAGGCACAGGGTCTGGGACATCTTGTATTATCAGGATTTCAGCGCGCGCGAAAAAGCAGGCCACATGCTTCGGAGCGAAAGTGCGCCCTATGAAACTCAGCGGCGAGCGCGCACGAAATTGCTCGGCTGGCCATCCAAAACGAGAGGTCCTTACCACCGGCAAACACATGCTACAAACCACAAGATGGGTAACTCCATACACGCAGACATATAACAATAATGAAAGGGGGCGACCTGCCATGACGCAAGAGCTCTACTAATGCGCGGCGGCGCGGTTCGGCTGCCCAAACATGCGCAGGAAGGTATCGGAACGCTTGCGAAACGAGTCTCTTCATGCATCCAGGCCCTCTACGATGCTGCATTCCTCTAGCCAACATGCCTCGGAAAGAAGTCCCTCCCCTTGGCGCGCAGAGAACTGCCTCACAGCTGATGCACATGAGCATGCCACCCTTTGGTTGGCGTCGCAGATTACAATGGAAGTTGCCCTAACCTGTCCGCGAGACTGGCCGACTCCTTTGAGGCGCGTCGCGTGCGTCGGTAGGCGCGTCGGTAGAGCGATCGAGTCGCCGGCCCCCCCCCCGCAGATCAAGGGCGCTCTTTGGACTACGGCTAGACACTGGGTCGGAGACAATCGGCTGCATTATGGCTAGCTTCTTGACTCGTGGCAAAAGCGAGGGATGCGATGAGGCAGCAGTTCGTTGCATGCGGACACGGCGCGACCACGAACGGCGCCTAGAGGGGGTCTCAGACCCCGCAGGCTGCTCAAGCTCCGACGCGTCGTCGCGTGGAAACAACTGCTGCGTCTCAATCGCGGCTTGCCTTTACAGGGGCGATCTCATTGCGAACGAGGTCTGAGCTAGCCGTGTCCAAGCTGCACGGGCTGAACACAGAAGAGAAGCTTTGCGGCTCACATTTCTTAGGGGCGTCACCAAACTGACCTGGGGGGCTCTCTAGGTTCAGAAGATGGCCAGCGACTCAAGCAACACACCGGTCTTGCGCTCGCAAGGCCGGCCCCCTCAAACCCCCTCGAGGGAGGCGCCGAGCTGTCGCCCCCAGTGGCAGAAAAAGACACAGGAAGAGGCGGCGGGGAGAGCGGGGCAACCCCCGTCGGCGAAGGGGGCGGCGGAGGCAGCTTGGGAACGGCAAACGCGGGGGGCGCTGGAGCAACGCGAATCAGCGGGGGCGCCTGACCGACGGCGCGCCCCCTGGGAGCGGAAGCATCTCCACCTTGCCTGCGGCTCTCGGTCCACGAGCGGCCGCGGAAGTGCAAACGTGCCCGCGGGCCCAAGTCAAGTCCGTAGTCACCCCTGGATCGCAATCTCCCCCCGCCCTTCAAATACACAACCCCTTCATAACAAGAAAGTTCTCAGAATTCTAGCAGGGCCTCCAGGCAACAGCCTGCTCGTTTGAAACTTCAGCAGAACGCCTGGGCATGAGAAGCAGCAACGCGCGCTGAGACTCTTGGAGGCAGCGCAGAAAGGGGGGTGGCGACGGAGGAGGACAAGGAGGAGGAGGATGCTGAGGAGGACGAGGAGGAGGAGCAGCAGGATGAGGAGGAGCGGGCGCGACCAAAGAAGCTCGTGTCTACGGCAAATATGGCTGGAACTCTGTCGCAAAATCTGCCACCACCTGCGAATGCTCCTGATTGTCCTCTGGGCGCTCTGCTTCGGGCCTGAGACAGGCGCCAACCCGAAGGCTAGCCGAAACACGGGCTTCTTCTCTCTTCTCGCAAAGTCACAAGGGGTGGAGCGTCGGAATAGATAGTCGCCGGAGCAGGGAAAAACAACTGGATAACCCTTCGCGCTGTTTGCAATCGCTGTCGAGATCCGCACTGCGCTCGACATTAAACACGATGGCATCGAGCATGGCCTGGCCAAAACCTACGCATAGCCTAGGCGAGTAAACCTCCGGACGCGAGGTGCGACAGATCTCATCTGAATGTCTGTCTCGCAGAATGATGCGACCGCGAGGCCCATGGCTGCCCATTGCCTCAGCCTGGTGCGTCGCGCAGCACGCTGGGCACAGAACCCAAACGCACGGGCGCAATTCCCGCGGGGGGCTCGACCAACCTTCCCAAACTCGCACTGATCAAACTCAGCGAGTCTGCTACATGTCGCACGCGTGGAAACCTCAGTTGGTCTGACAGCCCCAGGAACAGCGCAAGCCCCCCGCGCTGGGGAGGTATAGCGTTCTATCCATCCGCAGCCACCCGCGGTTGCCACGAGGCATCGCGACTCGAACATTGCTATATGAAGGGCGCTCGCAACCTGCATCTGCCGCTGCGTCGCGGCGGCAAGGCTGCCGCGCCCCGCGGCGCATTCCACGGCAGAGCTCGGGCGGATGAGATCTGAGGGCTGAGGTCCGAATGCCTCCTTACGCGTCAACGCCGAGTGCCGTCAGGTAGTCCCCTCGACGGGTGCACCGCCCCCTCCGTCCCAGCGAGGGGGCACAACTGGTCAGAAACGTGGTTGGCTTCTGACACTCACACCCACAACAGCATCGAGCGAGGGTCACCTCCTCGGCACAGGGGAGAACAACAATGTATCTCGACGAAGGCGCCTGTTTGTACCACCACGGCTTCGCAGGGCATTGCATTATCCCAGGCTTCTTGCTCGCCTGACACGCAACAAGGAGCAAACACATGGTACGGAGAAGGGCACTGCCCAGCTTGACATGCTGCATTTTGGATTGTGAAAAAGCCTCGAGGCCCCCGAACAAGCCCTTGTCCCGAACGGGCCTCGGACCGCGTCGCCCCTCCAAAGCGCGCCTCCAAGCGGCGCTCCACGTTTCGCAAGGGGGGGCCAACAAAGATCATCACCACGGTGCCCTCCCGAATGAGTTGCAACCAGTGCTGCACTGTGTCGCTCTTGCTAAGGTCGCCGAGAACAAGGTCGCTCGCAACGTCCGAGGGGGAGAACCCACACTGGCTTACTACTCGAGGCCCTGGTGAGGACCTCCTCGAGCGCACACTGGAAGTCTCCTTCCCCCGCTCGTCAGAAAAACATAGCAGCACAAACACAAACGGACGGGTGTGGCGGTCGACGAGGGCGTGCACCTATTTTCTGTGCCCCTCTCTGTCAGCTACAGGGGGCTCGAGGGGTTGATCCAGCTCCTGGGCGGGGGGGATGAGGGTCATGCAAGTGCGGAAGGCGAGTGCGAGAACTTGCGCCTGGTAGCTTAATTCTTGTGCAGCTCCTTGGATTCTTTGGCGTGCGGATCCTCCTCTTCCACCTCGTCCTCCTCTTCCTTCCCCTCCCCCACCACCACCGCCCCCTCCTCCATCGTCATCATGCCTGATGCCTTCACTCACCACGGTGACAGGCATGCTCCTATGTTTTCGCCTTGCCCTGACTCTGGCCAATTGGCCACAGCGTCTCACGATGAGCACGTCGGGCTGTCAGAAGAAGCTTGGAGCGGCGGCCACTGGTAACACTGTGAAGCGCAGCGCGTGCCCAAAGAGAATCGAAAGACAAAGGGTAGTGGAAACGTTGAGTAACCTACGAGGGCAAAGAGGCGGGCATGCCATCAAGATTTCAACATCCACTTTCATATCCTATACAGCTTCTCCCCCCTTCTCTACGAGTGTTGCGCTGAGTTCGGCGCGCAGTCAGGGCCCAACTTCAGATGCGCGCGATCGTCATAACATGTGGGAGGGCCAATGTATATATGCAGCTAGCCATACCGTGGTCACTAAAACAGTACCTCTGTTTGCATCAAAAGAAGGAGGCTCCCCTGTCTCCTGCTCATCCTCCTGTTCCTCACCCTCCTCCTTCTCCTCCTCCTCATCATCAGCATCATAATCCCCCCTTCCCGCTCCACATCCTGCTCATATTCCTCCTCCTGTTCCTCCTGCTCCACCTCGAGGGCCTGCTCCTGCTCCTCCTGCTCCTCAAATTTATCCTCGTGCTCCTCGTCCTGCTCATCCTGCCCCGCCTCCTGTAACCCCTCCTCCTCCCCATACATAGGGTATCGACTCAGTATGCGCACACCTCCCCCTTCTCTCTCCCATCTCTCCTCTCTCTCTCTCTCTCTCTACCTCTCTTGGTGTCTGTTCATCTCTCTGCCACACTCTCTCTCTCTCTGTGTCAATATTTCTCTCTCTCTCGATCCGTCTCTCGTCTAAGTGTCCTTCTCCTCTTCGCGTATACTATTCCGTAGCATTTCCATCGGTCCCCATCTGCTGTACCAGTCTTTCATCCCCTCTTCCTCTTCTCCTGCATCCTCCTCCTCATCTGCACCCACCCGTCGTTTCTTCCATTTCCTTTCCCTGTTCCTCTGGTCATGCGCTCCTCTCCTCCGGAATTCCGATGTGCCTCACCAACACCCTCG